GGCTGGGGACCGGCCCCTGCCCGAGGAGCCGGGCTCCCGGAGTCGCCTCCCGCCGCCTGAGGCCTGTGCTGGGGACGGAAGGTTGTTTCACATAAATGCAATTTGTTCGCATAGATGAGCGCTTTGGGCACCTGCCCCTTTTTTTATGCTATCTTGGGAAGTCGCAGGTTACGGCAGTCTTTTCGATGGGCAGCTGGGTGTTTTCATGGGTTTGTGAAATATCTGTGAGCTGTTGAGCTGAGCCTCAGGGTCTTTGCAAGTTAAAAATGTGAGGCCCTTCCTGTCATACTTTCAAACGCTCTTAGAAGCGAAAGGGCTGTTTTGCCTGGTGTATGTAGCTATATCCAGAGTCAGTTGTGTGTGCGTGCATTGCACAGTTCCTGTTCCTGTGGCTTAATTTCATTCCCTTTTAATTCTGTGTAGACTTAACGTCTTCCTTCCCTCGGGATCTCCTCTGCTTCACAGGAGAATAATTCTTATTCCTCTGTAAAATAACAGGGGGAAGGGCACGGAGTGCCGGTCTCTGTCTGGAATAGGACCTTTGCAATGGAAGCTTTGCAGATCCGTGTGGTAACCGATGGTGGATGTAACTAGCAAGGCTGAACTGAGCTAAACATGCCGGCGGGGTAAGGGGAGGACAGCTGAGCTTCGTGGGAGCGCAGGGTTCCAGTGTGGTTCTCAGACTTCCATGGAGAGCAGCGAAGGAATATGGACCACACTGAACTTTTCTTACAGGCATTTCTTGGAAAAGATGCTAAAAGTCCAGGGAAAATGTAGTCAGAAATAGAAGCTTCAGAGTGGAAAGGTTATTAGCCAGTTTATGGTCCCTCCTGTTTCAGGTTTTCTGTTACCTCTCATTTTACTTCTTCCCAATAAGCAATTTTGTTCACGTACCGTGAAGTTCCATAGCACTCAGCTCAAACTACTACATGTCTGTGCAGCTGGAGGTGCTCCCTGAAGCAGCTCTCAGTTTCCGGCCCTGTTGCTCCAGTACTCTCTGGCAGCAGTAAGATGCAACTGAAGATGACCTGTGCTAGGGCCCGAGTTGGAACAATCTCATGAAACTCTACAGGCACAACGTATACTGCACCCGCGCAGACACTGCGTGTGAGTAATGCTGCTGCTGTGTTGTAAGAAGTGTCTTACAAATGCTCATGTAGCAGCTTCCGTGTAGAACTGCCAAGATCTCCAAAGTTTAGTAATAAAAAACACTTCTTCTTACACAGTCACTACCCCCATATGCACACGCTCTCTCAAAGAGTCTTTTTGTTCTTGTCCTCTTAAAACTACGCAAAAATTAGCCGGAGGCAGACATTTAATGTGGGAAATGCAATATTTGCAAAAGAGAAAGTCTGAAAACAAGGCCCTGTGAAATAGTGTTTCATACTTTCATTATGGATCAGTGTTATGTTTGATGCCGTGACTTAAGTGAATATAAATGATAATCACAGTGTTTTCTATTAATCACACTTCAGTTCTAATGCCAAATGTATCTAATTTGATTTAAGACACTTATTTAAAAACAAATGTGCACTTGAGAATGTGGTACTTTAAGAAGTCTGTTATCTTAATTATTCTGAGGAAGGTCGTAGCTGTGAACGTGCTAGCATTTCAGAAGATGATCCCGTGAGATCCAGGGTCCACGTGGCTCAAAATACAGAATTGGTGTGCCTGGGAGAGAGCGACTGGTGGCTGGGACGCACCCGGGGGAGGATTCCAGTCTGTGCTCGGGTGCAATCTAAGAGCTTTAGACACAACTCTGCAGAAATGTTTCTCCTAACACTTCTTCACATTGAGCTTGTGTTTTCCTCTGTTTAAACTTCATTATCTGTTATTTCTTACTTTTATACCATAAGGTTTTAATTTATTACTGTGTTTTGTTTTTTTTTTTGAGACATGAGCAGCTAGAACTTTGTAATTACTGATACAAGAAAACACGTAGTAAATAATATTTTTCTGAATTCATTCCTTCTGCTAGTACTTTTTCTCAGGTTGGTCTCATATGTCAGCATTATTCTAGTGCAAGGTGCCACGATGCAAATTGTGCACAGCAAAAGAATGTGTTGAGGAAGTATCCCTGCCCAAAATGTCAAGTCTGGACAAAGTTGCGTTGGTTTCCTGAATTTGAATGCATAATACTTTTATCCTTATCTTTAATAAACTTTGAGAGCTATTTTCTAACAAAATGTGTTATTATACATTCTTAAGTTGCATTCCTTGTTATATGTACCTGTTTAAAAACTGTCTCTGTTAAATTTTTGCCTTTGCTAATGCGGTAGCACAAAAGCCTTAGGGTGCAGCAGAATGTGTTGGACAACGCTGGGCTTGGGAGTGCTTGGCCTGTGCTCCTTCTGTCCACGCGTTGTCTGTGTGTCAGGGTGTCCTGTCAGTTCTGTTGTGCTACATCTCCATGGCAGCACAGTAGAAAGAGGGCTGGGGGCTGATTCCGTGTGGGGAAACCAACCCTTTTCCAGGTTCATTTCAGCATGAATCAGTTCCCCTGGACATGTCACGTCTTGACCAGTGAACAGTCATGTTAGCGTACACACGTGGGTAGGAACAGTGGAGAAGAGCAGGACAAAACTCCTTAGCGCTGACATTGTCCCCAGATGCTTTGTATCACAGAAATATATTCTAAAGATTACCGGGACATAGAATGTTTTATAACAGTATTGCTGTTCCCTGTGAATACATAATACTTTTATGTTGATAACAAACCAAAAATCTTATGCTTAAAAGATCTATTTCAGGAACATTAACATAATATGCTTGTTTGGAGGCCTCTTCTATAGCTTGAATTGAGCAAACAGAACTACTCACTGTAGTGGAATATGTATGTAGGTAGGCATTTCCAGAGCCCATACGTTCATATAAAATACTAAAGTGAAGTCTAGTATCACAGTTTTGTTGTTAAGAAAAAAATATTTATAAGATAGAAGAAATCTTGTAAAGAAATTTATTGGCATGTTTCCAGTTTTCATTGACTTAGAGCCTAACATACTGTCTTACTTACGAGATGGTACATGTATAGAATATTATAAAAGACATTTCTGGCCTGAGGCTCAGATTGCTGCCTTATTTGTGAGTAAAGAAGTTATGAGTGAGTTATGCAAGCTACCTTGTTAAAGGTCTAATAGAACCTTGTATAATATCTTCAAGTATTGTATGCAAGCAGCATTTCATAAGTATGTTTCCTGTGAAAGCTTTTTAGCATGGAAAACTTTACCTGTTAGAGTGAATGGATTCTAAATGCCAAGGTTGCTTGATATCGTGAATTCAGTTTTATAGGACTTGAAAGAAGAAATAATATTCTTGATTATCCTTTGCTCATGTTAAAGGTCACTTGTCACAGAGAGACTCCACATATCCAAGGACAGGATGTTAATGCTAAATCTCTGGTTTCCCTTGGTTTCCATATGTGAGAAGGAAGGTGACATTTGATATTTCTGATGTTAATTTTTGTTTAGTTCATAAAAGGTAATGCTTGAATATGTTCCACAGTTTGGAACAGGGGGGAAAACACATCGCTAACTAGCTAAAATTTAATAAGTAGAACGCAAGGGCCTGGTCAGAGGTGCAATATAAATGTTGTTTATACATTCTGGAGATTACTAAGCAAGTAGAAAAACTATGTCATTGTTGTCACGATAGGCCGTAAAAGAAATGTAAATTTTTCAAGGCAGTAGCACTGTTTAACTTTTCATCAAATATATTACAGATAATATTTTTTTACATTTCTTATTTTTAATTCAGGAAGGCTGAAGACTCTGAAATAGAAAGGGGGGAAAAAGAGTCGCCTTTGAAAGATAATCTTTCACCATGGGAAGAATGGTTCATTGGCAAAGAGAAGGAACTACGTGCCCGCTTGCAAGCTAGAGCTGCAGAGGTGAATACATCCATTTGGCTTGATGTGAAGTCTAACAGAAGATAGCAAGCACAAGATTTTTTTTTTTCTTTTGGTTGTGGAAACACAAGTAGTTTTGCCCATTATTTTTTGGTGTCTTGGGCCTCCGTAGTGTTTGTGTTTGACAATGCTGACATGATTCATGCTACGTCTATTCTCTTTTGCTAAACGTTATGCTTCATTGAAGTGGTGCTGTATAATATTTTGCTTATCCAACTGTCAGGTAATGGTTTGAGTTTAAAGGATTAAAACATATTTATATAATTGGTACCTTGATTTTCATCATGGGTACATATGCCTGCATGTAGGTAGTAAAACACGACAGGGCGTGTGCTGGGTGTAAGTATGCCAAGCTACTTGGTTAGATATGAGGCACAGCGTTGTTATCCACTGTGTGTGTAATTATACAGCTGTTTGGTGTCCTTTCCCAGGATAGGTTTCCCTGTCCCAGCATTTTTTTCCCTCCTTCTACCTTTTGGCCCCTTGCAAATGAACAGTTCTTGAATACTGGGGCTGGGGCAGAATTAAGTGAGAGCGCTGTATCTTTTCTTGATTAATATGTTTGTAGTTGCAGTTGATTAAATGATACAGTTGTTTAAAATCAAATTGGAAGTATTGGGTGGTGGTTAGAACAATCACATCAAAGTTAGATCATTTCTCGCTTTAGTTACTGATTTACTATTTGACCTTGAGCAATGTCCTAACCTTTCCGTGATTCACTTTATCTGTAAAAGTTGTTTTATCTGTAATAGTTGTTTTATGTGGGCTGCCTCATGTTGTGCATAAAACAGCCATCTCTGGAAGGTTCTGGAACAGTGTTTTAGAGGTCAGTGTAACACCATAATAGTTTGTTAAACTTGAGGAGTATGTTCTGATCTGTTAATATCCACCACACATTTCATGACTTTCCCTTTAGATTCCAGGTCGGTAATCGTCTCTCCCTATTTTGATTTTTGAGTAAAAAAAATGAGCCAAAGTAGTTTCTGATGTCATGTAGAAATGTGGTTGGTGTATGGACTTCTCATGTGGTCTTGACGAGGAACAAAAGTAACTTTTTCTTGTACATCACACAATAGCATTTATGCAGTACAAAATGTAATCTAGAAGATGTCTCCGTCAGCTGTATATTAAGAGCAGTCATAGGACAAGCATTACGTAAAGCCATGTAGAAATCGGTGGGATAGGTAAATATTTTATTCTCATTTATAAGATTTTGAAAGCATTAGAAGTTAAACTGCAATGTAGGCAACTGAAATAGCTTATATCAGGGGAAAAATACAGTCAACCTTTTGTAAGATGCCAGAAGAGAACAAAGTATGTGATTGTGATGTAAGAATGTATTGCTGCATTTGCATATAAAAAGTAATCTAAACTGATATCCTAAGAAACAACTGTGAAGTCCCAGATCTTTCACTGACAGCAGCACTGAGTCTGCCCTGAATGTTGGAAATGTGGAGAAATGTTTGGAGTGGATGGGGTCTTCTTGGGTACTGGCAGTGCCTTTACCTGTTACAGAAGCCAGGATCCCTGCGATACAAATGTCTCGGAACTCAAGGGAGGTGTTAGTCGCCGTAACTTTGCCTCAATACAGCGACAACTATATTTTGAAAATATGTCTGTATTGTGTTTTCTTTTAAGCTCTCTGTAGACTCCTATTTTTTCTTGGTGTCTTACTAAATTCAAACTCAGTGTCCTAAGAAGAGGGGTTTCTCTCTGAAACTGACTGCAGTCTAGGGACCATAAAATCAGTTTCGTGGAAATAATTCCATTTGTCTATGTTTGAAGGTATGAATTTTCATCAAAAAATAGGACTTTGTGCTAATGCTACTGTTAGAGAAGCTGGACATCTCAAATTGTCGTCTTGGTCATATTTTTTCTTTATCGATTCATTTCCTTGGACAAATATAAGTGATTGCATATATACTGATGTCCTATAAAGATACTTTCAAATTTTTTCTCTTATTTTCAAAATAAAGCTCCTGCTTCAAAGTTTGCTAAAATCTGTAATAGTGTTGTCTTTAATAAGCTTTGGGTTAAGTCGTAAGGTTCCTGTAGTTCTGGTACTAAAGATCACAAGTGAGTCATATTTCACTTAGATTTTGATGCTTTCCTGAATGCAGAGCAGTACACCGTGTTTTAAGTATTGTAAGAAAGTACTGCTGCAAATTAAGATTCCACTGACTGAAAGGGCGTTTAAATAAGCTGAGGAGCAATTCCTTATGTTGAATCGTTTCCAAAACCTAATTAAAACAAGTGTTTCCAGTTCATATTCTAAAAATTATACATTGCCATTGATTGGATTTCATAATACTTCTGTGTTGACTGGCATCCATCTTTTCCAAAGTCGTAATGAAGAAAAAATTTCAAAATCTAATATGTATGTTGTTTTAACTGCAAGCGCTGTTTCCAGTACTGAGTGTATTGGTGTAGATGGTCACCACTGATTTAAGATGCATACTTTCTCTTTAATTAGGAAATGAACATACAGCTTGAGAAGATGAAGCAAAATCAAGAATGTGAAAGGAGGAAAAGGATAGCTGAAGAGAAGCACAAGGAATGGGTACAAAAAAAAAGAGAAGAGGTACAATATTGCTTTGGCTGCAAATATTGTAGCACGTACCATGCTTAAGTAAACCTATGTAAAATTACTTAGACTGTTTGGAGAACCGTGTTTTTAGTTTGCTGAATGAATGGCTGTTTTAATTGAAAATTGTAAAACCACACCAACACAGTTAAACATTTTTCTAACACTGATTTATTTTTTTTTCCATAAGGTATAAAGAGACTTGTTTTCTGAGTAGTCAGATAACTGATAGTTGGCCTCCATCTTGTGCAGCAGCCTTCTGCTAGTTATAGCTGGGGTTCTGGTCTTCACTATACCCTACTCTTTATGACTTCTGGGTTCAGTGCCCAAGCGTTTTAGGTAAACTGTACATCTTAACTATCTACAATGTCTTGTACACCAAGCAGAGCCATAAGAAGGATTTAGTGAAGTGCCATTGTGGACAGGCAAATAATATGGTAGAGTTTAGAGGGATAATTGAGGTGTGAGGCCAGATTCAGGAAATTCTCAGTAGACCGCAGTTAGCAACTGGGAATTCCTTCATTCAAAAAGTAATTTCTGAGTGGGATCAAAAATTTTTTATCTTCTTTTGAGAGGGATGCCTAAGTCCAGGGTCAGAAGCAGACAGAATCCTGACCTCAGTGGAGCACTGTACAGCCCTGTGTCACACCAAGCAAGCGTGTTTAATGGGTGGCTAAAATGGGAATGTTTGGGAGGCTTGGGCTTGTTCAGCCCCTGGTAGTTCATGGGTATATGCGTTCATTGTCTTATGGTCTGTAGCAATACCAGTCGCTTACTGTTCTGTACTTCTGAATAAAATCAGTTGAAAGTTGATTAAAAATATCTCAATGGCCCTATCTGGCCTAGATATCCAGACTTCATACATTTGTCTTCACCATTTCAGAACTCCAGATTTGGTCTAGAACCACTAGAATAACCTGTGTTTGGATCTGACCTAATTATTCTTGGTCTCAGTGCTGGCTGGATGATTGGCATAAACCTGCCCCCAAATCAGTCCTGCTCTAAGCATTTATTACGATGTAGAAAGGATCTTTCCTTATTAAAGTACACAGCAAAAAGTAGAAGATTTATTATTCAGCACAAAGAATGCCATTTTCCTCTTCTGAAATGTAAATTAAATTATAGGTGTCTGTAACTATTCATTGGCTTGAAAGAGTTTGGGCTGCTTGTTTAAAATCATTCACAGTTCAAAACAGTGAAAGCTCCTGTTCTTACTTCTGACTATTTGGGTCCTCCTTGGACCTTTGTGGATTTACAGATTAACAACTTCTTGTCTGTTGTTTATGGGAATAGGAGGTCTCTTATCGTAATCATATCAGCCCAGAGGACGGGAAAAAGCATATTTGTGTCTGGACTTTATCATGTTATATTTTGGAAGGATAAGGTCATCTTTAGGCCATGTCTCAAGCTTTTACCAAAAGTAATCTGATTTTCATTTAAATCAGATGATTCATTGGCTAGTCTTTTCTGTAAACCACACTCGAATCAAGAACAAACTGAAACTCTTAGTTGTCTTTAGGATATTAACATTTGTGCTGCATAGACATTACCGCTTCACATTTCCAGAAGATTGTCTGTGGCTCTGGATGCAGACTGTAGGATAAATATGTCTATTCAGTGACTAAGAAGGTGTTTAAAATTGTGTGCAGATGTCACATGAAGTATAAGGTTAGATTCATGAGCACTGACAGTTGCTATGATTTTCTTGGGGAGTGTGTATACATCTCATATTTAGGAAAGCTCACTTCGTTTCCTCCTAGAAGCATCAGAAGGTGCTCCTTGAGGCAAAACTCACAGTGTTGTTCACTGAGATCTGCATTAAACACTCACCTTTTTCATATCCAGGCAGTACTTTCGGGAATGTTGCCTGTGTGATCTCCACAAGTCTGTCTCCTTTCTCATCGCTGAATTCTGTACTGACGAAGGAAGTAAGGCATGGTTGAGCACATGCAACTTCTTTCCTCATTTTGAGCATCCAGCACCAGGAGACACTGCTGGAAGAATCTTCAGACCATCAATGTGAGAGACATTTATATCAGAAGTAGAATGTTTGTATGTGCATACAAGAATTCTGATGGTTTTCTGTATGCCAAGCCAGTTTTATTGCCTTTTGTTGCATGCCAATGTCAGTTGTGATGCTTTGACTATTAAATATAGTCCTTTAGGGTCAGGTTCGGAAGCAAAGCTTGAGCACTATTTTTGTTCACTGGCAGTTTTGGTTTTTATTGTTTAATATATATTTAAAAGTGTAGCTGTGAAGTTTTTTTATCCTTCCAATCATTTTGCATAAACCATTTTTAAAAATAAAGGAATCATAACCATTTGATATTCTTCTATGTAAATAGTTTTTGTGATTTTAAAGGTTGTAAATGAACTAGAAGTAATATACTGAAATATGAGCTATGAAAGAACATTAAGCTGTGAAATATGTTTATGCAAATATGGCAAAGTTTTGCAGCTCACTAAGAAATAAAAGCTTAATGAAATGTACTGTCAGGCACTGCGCTGGTTCTACTAATGCCTTTACAATTTTCAGTAAGATACTAGATCTCTGCTGGACAAAAATAGTCTTACTTTCTCTCTCTCCTAAGGCTGAGTCATTTGTGGGCAAGCAAACAGTAAATATTCTGTTTGACTTGTTTTGTTTTAGATGTAATAGAGCTCTATTTTTTTAACAAGTCACAGGAATATCAATCAAAACTCTTTTAACTCTAAAATGCCTCCAAACATGCTTTTTGATTCCGCAAGAAAATTTGCTTAAACCCAACATGATTTTGTATGTAACTAAAACTTTTGTAAAGTGCGATTTTGTATATAACTAAAACTAAAAACTGTTCTGAGTTACTGTTAGATTTGTTGTTAAAAATGAGGTGGGCATGATTATAAATGCTAAGCAAGTGAAGTTGGTGTTCAGTGCCTTGTTTTCGTTGTTGAAGTAACCTTGGTGTGAGTGGTATGCAGAACTGGACATAGATCAGCAAATCAGTTAGAATCCATCTTAATCGGTCTGGAATGTTAAAATACTTGCTTGATTGCTAATTGCTGTGTTTAGACTCCAGTTTGGTAAGGAGCTCTGTGTAGGCAGCTCGTAGCTGAACTATGGAGTTTAGAAAGAAAGGAATCGATCCCCATCTAATCATAGAACTAAATCTTGAATAGGTGTTGAAAACTAACTACTGTCTCAGTGGTTCAGGCTAGAATTAATGCTTGTGAAAGCTTATTTTCTCTGTGTCTGTTCATTCTGGCACTTTAGATTTTTTTTCTTTCTTTTTTTTGGAGGGGGCCAAGCAAGGACCCACCCATAGTGGAGTGAAGTTTTTTATTTGAAAATAAAACCAAGAGGTAGAGAATGTCTAGAATTTATCATTAAAAAAAAAGACCTTTGAAGTCTATCATTTCATGTTTATATGCTGACTCCCTGCAGATACTGAACAGATCAGTTAACTTCAGTCATTGTTCTCCAACACTGAGTAAGTTTAAAAAACCAACCAACCACACCCTCACCTCACCCTCCCAAATTGTATCTTGGAATTATTTGAATCGTGGGACCTACCTGTGTGTGATGTATTTTGAAGATCTCCTCTCCGTAGTGGCATCTTTGTGACTTGTGTCTTGTCAAATATGTTCTTGCTTAACAAATAAAAATTTCATAACTATTTGGCTTAGCAGGCTGTAAATGATACCAAGACTGTTTTACAGACTTGAGTAAAGAACGGTTTAAGGAGCAAGATAAAAAAATATTGCTTAATGTCTTCAAAATATTTGGGAATCCTATTTCTGGTTCCTTCCAAGGATTTTTCTCTCTCATCTAAATTCTGGTGGATTAATATGTGACAACAAAACTCTGGCTGGATATAAAATATACAGAAAAAATGTGATAGGTGGGGTCATAGATGTTCAGAGTTGATCAGCGATTCATACTTTCTTTCATAGTGTTTCCTTTGAAGACCACTACTATTCGGAATTTGTCCAGTGTGGTTCAATTCCAAGTTCCTTCACAGTGTGACCAGGCGCTGGTTCTGCTGCCTGATAACTTACTGTGTTCTAGTCAGTGGAAATTTCTGTAGATGCTGGTGAAAAGCTTCTGTTCTGTGTTGGAAAATATGTAAGCTGCTGTCTGAAGCTAGTTTGTTCCCCCCCCCCTTGCATTTGAGTTAATTAATTCAAGACATATGTAGTCTTCTTCCAGGAAGAAGACTTTACCCTTAAAAACTCATTTCCCAGGAATGAGGTGCAGTATGGAGAACTCCTTGCTAGAGTTTGGTTTCTGAAACCTGTGTCTTTCCAGGCTCCCTTTCTTCCTTATTCTGTGTCCTCTTACTGGTATTTCTGTAAAGAACTGTGGATGATTTTGACGTTTATGTAGTCTCACAGGAAATGTTGTTTTCTTCATGTAAACAGGGACCCAGCCCCTGCCTTTATGTTTGTAAGTGTAACTTGGGTTTGACTTGCCCACGTATCAGGAGTGCTGTGTTTACAAGACTCTATCTGCAGAACCCCAGTTATATATGACTTGCTTCCTAATGTTTTGCCGTAGAATAGGAAGGTGACAGTAGCACATTTTTTTCTTTTCCTGTTTTACATGAACTTTTGATCCGGAGGCGTGAGAGTCTCTTTCATTCCTGTTAACAGCTATGGGATTGAACACTTAAGTAAGCTATATGCAATTGCTGAATTACTGATTAATTGCCTTCAAATCAAAGTACTAAAGGCTTTGATAAATGCGTTGTGGATGCATAAACTGTGAAGTGTCTGTAAAGTGGTGTGACCATTTATTTTAGAACATTGTTATACCAGTCAGAACCTCTTATGAACTAATGCTGAATATAAAATTAGGATTAAAGGTCAAGCTTGATGACAACAGCTTTTTCATCAAAGATTTAAAAAATTGACATTGATGCAGTGCACTCCACCCTCTGTGCTTGATTTCATATGGTATCTTCCAATCATATTTAATCCACCTTTATTGTCTCTGCAAAGCTACTTCATTCTTAGAT